AATGCTGTGTGGCAATCAGGTCTCAGAAGCCAGTTACCCGTTGTGCATGTTGTAAGGCCTCCCTTGTGTGCCACCGTCTCCACACCAGGGAGAAGGATTGGCAAGGAGACAGTCTTTACTCTCGGACGACTCTCACCAATCCCCTGCGGGCCCCCAGCCCCAGGCCAGGCCAGGTCTCATGGGTTGGGAACAACAATGCCCTGTTACAATCCCAGCAGGAAGTGCACTGGGGAGGGGAGGAGAGATTTGTGTTTTTACACAAATGCCCAAAGCAGAAGGATCAGCTGGGCCCATCACTGCCGCCTTAACTATAACATTCTTTGTCTTTGGCCTTTGGTAAATGCTCAGGGGCAAGCAGTCTCTTGGTATACCATTCCATCCCAGTTCTGGTTTTGATAAATGGGGAAAGAGTCACAAAATTCTCAATAAAAAGGAAAGTAATTGAAATTCGCCTTCAGGAAGGCTTACCAAGGCCACCCGGCGGTGTTGAGCCATCCATCCAATCAACCTGGGTCAGATGTCAGGGATGGGAAGGGGAGGCCCTTGGGTACCACTCAGCAGTGTGCTTGTGGTAAGGCTCAGGCCCCTACTGCCGACACCCACCCCTACACCTCACTGTGGAGTCGAAATGCCTGAAAACTTAAGAGCTAAGACTCAAGACAGCAGCTTCTGGTCTGGGCACCTGCCCAAGGCAGCAGGAAGAGAGTGCAATGATTTATTTTCTCCCCCAACTGAATAAGACCTCATGCCTCTTCACCGAATGAACCTAAAAATGTGGACACAAGTGGTATGTGACATAGGCAGGCCCATGGCACAAGACCTGGAGGGAGAAATCAACAAGTGATGCCTTCTCCATCTTTCCCTGGCCCTACCCCACAGGTAACAGGCTGACAACACAGTAAATGAGCTCTTCAGTACTGAAATGTACACACCTTGGGAGCGAATCAATTCTTCATGACTATAAGATTGTTAAGAAATTCAATACATGCACATTCATAACTAAGAATGGTTTAAAAATAAACAATCAATTTTAAACTCATTTCAAGGTAATAATAAACTCTCAATGACCCCTGAGGAGATAGCTCTCTAGGGGGAGCTCAGGATACCTCTTCATTACACAGTGAGATTCCAGGCTACCCGTAAGGGGACAGACTGGGCTAGACCAAAACCAGTGCATATGCAATGCCGTAGCCAGACTATCTTCCAGAACAGAGACGCAGAATTTTAAAATCATTTTGAACTATCTTCACTTCTTCAGTCCTCCAAGCCCTTCCTAAAAAAGCAAGATTAAATGTCAGCCTTGGGCGCCTGGGTGGCTCAGTGGGTTAAAGCCTCTGCCTTCGGCTCAGGTCATGATCCCAGGGTCCTGGGATCAAGCCCCCATTGGGCTCTCTGCTCCGTGGGGAGCCTGCTTCCTCCTCTCTCTCTGCCTGCCTCTCTGCCTACTTGTGATTTCTGTCAAATAAATAAATAAAATCTTTAAAAAAAATAAATGTCAGCCTTGACAAGTCTGAAGTTGAACACCAAAACATTTTACTTATAAACATAACACCTAGAAGTAAAACTCTGGGACCTCCTCTCCATCACATTCAATGTGACCATTACTTAGGCTGGGAGCCTTGGGATGAAGTTTTCTCAAGCAGGCTGCGTGGAGTTCAGCCTGGAGCCAGAGTGAGTAACATTTCACCATGTGAAAGAAGACACTGAGTCCACGACCTCTGACCCTCCAGGCCCAGCTTGCTCACAGAAGCTACCTCCGGTATCTTCTGGGTCTTCGTAAAGAAATACCCACTGCGGGGTCAAAATAGCCCAAAGCACATAAAGGAGATGGGCCCATCTGTGCGTTCTTCGCAGGGTGCAGCATGGAGACATTTTGGAGCCATCAAGGCATGGAAAGCCAGACAGGCCAAGCAAACATCAATGCCGCGGGCGTGCTAGCAGCTAATGGACCACAGAGAGTGCCTCCAACAGGCCCCGACCACATCCATCTAAAGCTGCAGGGGCCCTCCCAGCAATTCCTGCTCCCTAGCTGCTAGAGCATGAAGTACACAACGGACCTTCCGTCCTGGGTACAAGCCCCCACACGATCACGTCAAGGCCATTCTTACAAACTGGGACAACCACAGGACCCACCTCTGGAATAAGTTCCCTGGTTTCGGGTCCCTGCCATGCGCAGCTGAAAGGGGGCAAGATGGGGGATGGAGGCATCCTCACTACCCACCTCCCCACATCTTGAGGAAAATGGGAAGCATTTATTTGGGCTATTTATCTTGTTTTGTGCAAGATCTACTTGACACTTAGCAGCTCCTGTAATTTTTTTCCCTTTAATATTTTACAGGTGAGTATCTTCCCCACCCACCCCACCCCTGCTGACTATCTAGGAATTAACTACGTGTGGAGAGACAGATCTTTTCTAAAAGCCTGTAGTGCTTTTTTTTTTTTGTGATTGATTAGACATGATGACAATTACCAGAATCAACAGGCTCCAAGTTATCAACAGTAAATTCTGATACCTCCCCCAGCAGCCACCCTCACCTCAACCTTTGCACCGCTCTATTCTGAGCCAACCAAGTGTTACTGTTAATACAGAGTTCATTTACTCTATTTATGTATTGGGAGAATAAATGAGCTGCGCCGTGTGTTTGCCTTCTTCAGATAGGGGTATCAATCCACAGCCACTAGATGATCTGAACCCTGCAGAAAGAACTATTATTAAAATATCCATGTTGTATTTAGCTATTAAAAAATTGACTGCCTATACTCTGCTCTAAAAAATGCTTCTGGAGACCTGACTCACACACAGACACACACAGACACACACACACCAAGAGAGAGAAGACAAATCGCACACATATACAGCATAGAGATTCTTCCAGCAGAAAAGTGCTGATCCAGACCTGCCCAGAGGAAATGAGTTCTTTTTAAACACAAAAAATGCAATCAGGGGTAATCAGCAAGTTAACAACACACTTGCAAACACCCTAGTCCCTAGAAAGGAAGAATGCCAGCTTTCAATGCAAGTTCTGAGAACAGAACATATCCTTTGGGCGAATGAGAAAAACAAGTGATCATGTCAGCGTCTTCAGGAAGAACTTTCTCCAAAGCCAAGAAGCTTTGGAACAGCAGTCAGCTCCAGAAGGCACCTGCTTATAAGAAGTGCTTCCATAACCACATTCCCAAAGTGGCTTTGTGGGTTGGGGTTGCCTCCGCTGCTCTTCCCCAACCGCTTTTCCACTGGGCCCCGTGGGGGAAAAAAGAAGCCAAAAAAGGGAGGCATGCGTGTCTTGAATCTCCCTCTCCTGCAGCCCACCCACAGGAAGGGAGACGTGATGCCCAGGGCAGCCCAGCCAGCGAAAGCAGCCACAGAGGCCTGGGGAGGCTTTTCCAGTCTCCCCTACGTGACCTACAAAGGGGCCTCCAACAAGACCCCTCAAGGTGTCCTAGTCTCCAGCATGTGCCATCTGGAAAATAAAATTCGCTTTGATTTAAAAAAAAAAAATTTTTAACAATTGTGGCTAAAGTTCATATCAGTTACACCCTCTTTAGGCTGGGTGGGCTGTGGTGGGATGGTTTCAGGAACCCCTGCAGACACTATTTTTTATTACAAGCCACAAGACAGGGGCCTCATCAGAAGGAAGAAACCTGGGATCAGTGCTGAGACACTCATCCGGCCCCACCTACCCGACCTCCCTTGTCCTATTGCTTCTCAGTCTTGGCTGCACACTAGAATCACCTGGGGAGTTTAAAAATATACAGATGCTTGGATCCCACACCTCACCCCCCACCCCACACCAAATTCTGATTGAACAGGTCCATAGGGTGGCCTGAGAGTTTTTAACTCCCTTAAGTGATCTTAATATGTGTCGCCAAGGTTGAGAACCACTGTTCTGCCCTACACCATCCCACCACCTCCATGGAGAGACCAGCGGGGGATGGCAATACATTTCTAGAGAAATCCAGGGATTAATTCCAAAAGAACAGGTGTAAATTGAACTTTACCTCTTCCTCATTCCAAACCCCAGCACACACACCCATGTGGTTAGTTCTCACGCTCTTTGTCATTTCAACGCTCCCTCCTGCTCAAAGCTGGGCCTTCTTAAGTGTTTGTCAAAGTAGAGTCTGGACCACTTCCTCCCATAGGTAATCCCAAACAGTCAAAATTCATTGAATGAGGTGAGGGCAGTCTAAGTCTTTGGGTTTCAGTCCCCTCTCCCTGGGAAGCTGTAGTTGAACTTGGGGGGCTCTCCAAGGCTACGCGGAGTATCGCCAGCTCCCTCTTGTGTTTGGCTGGACAAGGGTCCTGTCGGTCTCCATGTTTTCCTATACCATTCTCAGTACACGGAGATGCAAAGGGAGGACAGGAAAGAAGAACGTGATATGAAAAAGCCTGCTGCTAAAAAGAGGTCTTGAGTAGGCCCATCCCCAGTTGCCTCATCTACCCTCCAGACACTTCCCTCAAAGACTGTGGGAGGAGGAGCAAGTGGAAGGGCTGGGATGATAGCGGGCCAAGCATGGCCTGGAATCCATCCGCCCTCATTCTCCTTTGCATGGGCATTCTTCCTCCTGGGGTTTAAGGAGAAGATGATGGGGAGTTTCCCATCCATCCCAAGGGTCCAACTCTTAAGGGATCAGGAAGGACAGAGATAGCTACTTTGCCCATTTCTATTGGATTTCTTGCTCTGCACTGACCCTGCTAAGCTGCACTTCGGTGGAAGGAGCTGAGCTGGGCTCATATCCTGCAGTCTACACCATCTAGTCCTTTGAGTAAAGAGCCCATGATTGAGCAGCTGGGATCCTCTTCCTGATGAGATTTGATGGGTTTTCCATTGAGAGCAATCAAAGGATTTCCAACCCCTCCTCGAAGGAAAGGGACCCAATTATCTAACATGTAACTAAAGATGGCCTTCAACAGCAGCGTTGGTTTCTACCATGGGTCTTGGCCCTCACCCAACCCAGCAGGTGGGTATCTAACAAGAGAGGGCTAGGGAAGAAGGTCTTACCTTCCGAGCACAGCTTGCCTCCATAGCCGGTGGTGGAACAGTCACAGGTGGGGTGGCCATCCAAGAGAAAGCAGATCCCGCCATTTTCACAGGGACGCTCACCGCAGGGTCCCTCGGCATCCAACCGGACACCCTGGCTCCCCAGAAGCCGAGGCTCTGAGTTGCCATACTTGAGATCCAGGATTAATCCTCTGAAGCCGGGCATGGCCTGTACTCCATCCAGGGTCAGGGCAGAAGGTCGAATGTCGGCGGGGACTCCGCCCAGGAACAAGTCACTGACCACATCCATGTAGGGCCGCTGAGGCTGCAGCTCGCCCGCCTGGCCCTCGCCGTCGAGCACCAGCACCGTGCGCAGGCGGTCGCGGCTCACCATCAGGAAGTGCCAGCTGCTGTCGTTCACCTGCTTGTTGGACAGCACAGCGGTCTCTGCACAGTCCATGCTGAAGCGGAGCTGCACGCGGCTGTCCACCAGGGAAAGGCAGAGGAAGTCACAGACGCCACCGTCATCCAGGTAAAGGAGCAGCCCCGTGGACACATTGGTCTTGAACTGGAAGCTCAGGTCACTGCGCGTGCTGGCATCCCAGCGGAGGTAGCGGGCCCACTGGTTGGGGAGGCCCATGAACTCGAGGCCCAGGCAGAGCCCCAGCAGCGACCCCAGCAGGACGCTCACCTTCAGGGTGAAGAAAACCGAGTTTGCGGTGAAGCTCATCGTGGCTGCCAGGATGAGGCCGGAGGAGCCGCCGGGCAGGGAACAGCCCTCGGGGGAAGATCCCCCCTCCTTGGCAGCGGAAGGGAGAGTGGAAGAGGAGATGGGCCGGGCCAGTACGGGGCACAGAGAGCACACAAGAGGATGGAGGCCCACACACACTAATACCCAGAGGGTAAGGAAGAAGGACCGTGAGCAAGACGGCCCCAGATGGGCACACAAGCAGGAAATTCAACGAGGCAGAGGGGGAAGGCCGGGCAGCAGAAGAGGAGGAAAGTCAGGTGGGGAGGTGGGAGACCAGAGTGAGGAGCCAAGTGTCCTCCAAGAAAAGATCTCAGCTATCCATGTGGATCCGGAGGCCTTGATTCGAGGAGGAAAAGGTACTCTGTCGGTGGAAGTCTTCAGCAATGCGCTCCTCCCAGCGGACCCCCAAACACCCCAGCCAGGGAGGCCGGGGAGAGGGCTGGGCTGGGGCTGCCGTGATGGAGGAGGTGTGAGCGGTGGTGAGGTGAGCCGGGTGAAAGGTGTAAACAGGCCAAGGACCAGCCCTGAAGTTTTACCTCCTAGCAGCAGGGGGCTGCAGGGAGCGGGGCTGCCCAAAGCTGAGGGCTCAGGCAGGGCAGGGCCCAGGGCAGAGCCGAAGCAGGTTCAGGCTTCATGGTGCAGGCCAAAGGCAGTCCTGCCCATTACCTGCCTCTCAGGACTCCAGGAACACACCTGCAGGGAGAAGGGGGGTAGGCAGAAAGAAGAAAAAGATCAGGGCGGTGTCAGGAAAACACTGCACCTTATTTCACAAATATTGATGAACTGCCGACCAGGAGCCAGGCTGCTCTAGTGATTGCCATAGTGCCTGGTGCTTAAAATAGGAGAGAGGGCTCAGGCTCTCGCAGAGGTGTAGCAGGACCCTGAGCTCAGTGCCTAACGATGCGCGCGGTTTTTCCATATGCAAAAATAGTATAAAACTCCCAAAGCCGTATCAGCACATTTTTTACAGTATCCATATCAGAGGGTCACATAGCTAAAATTTATTTTTAAGGTAAGTGCTAACACTTTATACACTCAAGCACAGACACATAATTTTAACTATTTATTGGTTAAGAGGCACGAAATGACAGTGATTTCTTTTTAGATTTTTCTTTTTCAATTTGACAATCCAATGCCTGGGTGTAGGCGGCCTAAGACAGATTTCCACCTTTAAGTTTTTGAAAGAAATATTTATAAAAATCAGCAGAAATAAATTAGAAAGTGAGTAATGAGCAAAACAACTCTCATCTCTTAATACATGTTGGTGAAAAGTTCTTACAGGAAAAAAAAAACAACTGTGTTTCGAGACTTAAAGAAAAGCTATGCCTGAATCCCAGTTCTTTTATATGGAACTTCTGAGCCAACTTCTTAATGTATTTGAGCTTCTATTCCCTCCTCGGTAAAGCAGAGGAAAGAAGTATCTTTCTAAGGTTGGAGAGAAGTTATAATGAGATCAGGTATGGGAAGACCCTAGCATGAGACTATATTACATGGTAGGTGATCGGTAAATATTACATTCTTTAATTTCTTATTTCCAGACTGAAAGGGATGGGAAGGGGTGCCTGGGTGGCTCAGTGGGTTAAAGCTTCTGCTTTCAGCTCAGGTCATGATCCCAGGGTCCTGGGATCGAGATGTACATCAGGCTCTCTGCTCAGCGGGGAGCCTGCTTCCTCCTCTCTCTCTCTCTGCCCGCCTCTCTGCCTACTTGTGATCTCTGTCAAATAAATTTTTAAAAATCTTTTTACAAAGGGGGGGGGGGAATGGGAAGAAAAATCCTTGTGTGTCTACGCATGAGGGAGGGCATGGTTGTCTGTGGGGGAGGGGCAGGACATAAAACCACAAGTACTTTTTTAACAACTACAAAAACTGCAGAATGACCAACCAATGAGGAAGAGCTAGAACCTAGAACATATTACATATATTTTATACTGGTTGGAAATGCACCAACACCCAGTCAAAGTCAAGTGGGTGATCAAGTGTTGACTCTAGCAGACTCTGGCCCACCCAGCCAAGCAGAGACTTCTTTGTTCACATAAGAGCAAGGAGTATAATTTCTGAGAGCTGTAAAAGTAGCTGCTTATTAATTGACTCATTTAATAATTCACCATAGTCTCTATTAGACCATCACTGTCCACTATTTTTATGATGACCATGTTAGCAAACCTTCCCAGCTTTGAAGAGGAAAATGTTCCTTAACAGGAACAAACACCTATTCCCACTGAACAAACAAACCAAATCAGTAAGAGGTTGATTAAATCCAGCATAAGGAAAGCCTTTCTTCTAGAAAAGGTTTTATCCAAGTAGTGATTCCCAAAGTGTGGCATGCGTACCTCCCATAGTGCCAAAGTTACGTCCCTGGAATGCAGACACAGCAGTGTGGCAGTGCCCAAACATGTGGACTTTGTCAGAGCCAACTGTTAAAACTTCAGAAATGTGTGGTTAAGGTCACTTTGGTAGAATGAAATCAACCGGGCTAGGAGTATTTACACCATGGAAATAGTCAAACACCACAAATCTGACTCTTTGAGAAAGTGAGATTTAAGGAAAACCTTGAAAGAGAGTGAGGGAATTAGCCATGGGAAGAATGTTCCAGAAGAAACAGCACAAAGTCCTTGCGACTGAAGCAGGCTGGAATATGTGAAGACAGGCAAGGCCCAGGCTCAGATGGCCAAAGCCAATGGGGCCCTCTGTGGGAAGAAAGGACACAAAGATGGAAGGTCTCATATTATGGATGAGCAGGCACATGGGAAACGCTTGAAACTTCCAGACTGGTCTATACTATCTATCAACTTACCACTGAGCCTCTGAAAGTCACTTATTTGTCTGGATAAATTAAATGAGTTGTTCTGCTCAATAGGTTTATTAAGCTCTGATTCATTCCAGACACTGCTCTTTCAAACCAGAATAAGAAACCATCCTTGCCCTCAAGGCCATCAAAAAATAGTGGGGTCAAGTGTGCTTCAGAAACACAAAGCACAGTGGTGAAGAGCCTCGGCTCTAGAAGCTTGACAGGGAGCTCCCTGTGGGCAGGGTATGCTTCACCACAGTTCCTGCCACAGGGCCTTGGCATGGAGTGGGAGCTCAGGAAACATGTGTAAAGAATGCAAAGTGAAAACAGAAGCAGAAGAACATCCCCATGGATCCTCTGACTTCTGTTCCATGCAGTGGCCTCCACACCACCCCACTGTACACAACGACTGCCATCTTGAGCCATCTGGATGCCAAACTCACATGACTCCAAAAGGCAAAGCAGCACATGCCTAGTAAGCAGAAGAAACCTATGAATGAAGATTTAAGCATCCCAGGAACACTGCCCTCCAAGGAGGATCATGGGAATCTTCCCAGCCTGTTCTGGGGTGACGGCTCCATCCTGCCTGCTGAGTCTCTCACATCAGATTCACAGTCTTTCCCTCCAGCCCAGACCAACACTGGAGATACCAACGTTCTTCTGCCTGCATCAACAGGGATGGAAAAGGCTGGCTGAAGAAAACCAAGTTTTCTTTCCCGCAGGGGCCAGGCAGCATCTGATTTCAGGACTGGTAACATCAGAATTGGGTTTATCTAGGCTTGACACCCTATGGTCTGCCCTTCCATTGTTTTCTTGGACTGTGGACATTCCCATGGCCTCTGAGAAACACCAATACAGCCAAAAGCTAAAGATGACCTTACAATGACCAGCACAGGCCTTGAGCTGACTGCCCCAGCATATGTTCTTCAGCCTTCTCTAGCCTTCTAGAAGAGCTACACAAGGCTCAAGAAATGGGAAAATGGGAGCAGAGAGCCCTCTCCACCCAGTCAGCCAGCTTCCCCCATCTCTTGAGCCATAGGATGGCCCAGGCAGCTGTAGGTATGCGGGCGGTTTGCCCCGGAACCTGCATGGAAGGCCTGGGCTTGTGCAGAAACGCAGACGCTCATCTGTTATGTGGGAATCTCGCAGGAAAGTGAGTGACATTATCTAATTGCCAGCTAATTTACATAATTATCAAATGGCACACTTTTTATGTGGGGTTAACATCTTTGCAAATGTCTCACAATCCGGCTGCTTAGGAGGCGGGGGGGGCCCCTCTCACGACTCTGACACACAGGCTATTTGCCATAGGCCTGGTTTGGAAGGACTGCCATGTGTCCTTCCACCTGCTCCCTCCAGTTCCTCCACTCCCTGGAGACAGGCTCAGGAGAAAGAGGAGCCTGTGTCTAGAACCAGGAGGGGTGTATGAAGGCACGATGACGACTGTCCCCATGCCCAGCCACTTGCTGGTATATCACGGTCCCCAGATTGGGCTTGCCATTTTTCCCGTTAGAAATTCTCATTAGTGGGGCACCTGGGTGGCTCAGTGGGTTAAGCCTCTGCCTTCAGCTCAGGTCATGATCTCGGGGTCCTGGGATCAAGCCCCGCATCGGGCTCTCTGCTCAGCGGGGAGCCTGCTTCCTCCTCTCTCTGCCGGCCTCTCTGCCTACTGCCTCTTAAAAAAAAAAAAAAAAAAGAAATTCTCATTAGCTTCCCTCTTAATCCCTTCACCAGAACCAGAAAATCCATCTAACGGGTCTCCGTTGGTTCTCCTCGCATCCCCCCTTACCACACTCCTCACTTAACTTTGAAGCTAAAATGATTTTTCACCACCAGTCCCAGTCCTGGTCATTCAGGCGGGCTCTATCCCAATCTCAGATCCTGCAACCCATTGTAGCCAATTAGAACATTCCAATCTCCTGCCATGGTGATTACTTGAGGGATCAGCCTGTCACCCAAACGGAGTCACATTAGAGTGAAACCTGGGACTTTTGCTGGAATTATTGAAAGGCCCCCTCTTCTCACCATGCTGTCAGACTATTAGAATGAAGCCCAGAGTTGACAACAGAAACCAAAATGACCTTATCTAGGAATAAAGACAACAAAGGAAAAAACAGAGCCAAGAGATGGCTAAAGACAGACTTCTAGTGATAATTTAGCACCTAGATGCAAACAGGCCTGAAGCCCAATG